TTTAGAAAAACCGTAGCGCGCTAAAACTTCAAAGAGCCTGAATGTAATCCTTGAGAAAACGAGTTTGGCGCGTTCAAACCCTAACAAAAACAAAATAGAAAGATTATTTAGGTTAAGGTGTATAATGTTGAATTTAACTAGAGTTTTAAATTATAAAGTCATGAAGCTGGAGCACAAACACAAACAGGCGTTGTTGGGTGTTTGTTGTCAATAGCAATACAATTTATTCCTATGGCTCAAGTGAACAACATGATAGAAAAATGGTTTTTACTGGGGAAATGGAAAAAGACGCCATTCCGTGAAATTTCGAGATTTATAGGTTGAAGGATTGGAGGACCAAAGACCAAATCACTAAAGTATATATATAAAAAAAATAGAGAAAGCAATAGCACAGTGATGAATGTTGATTAGGACAATAATTAAGTCGCAAATAGAAGTTAAAACAATTGCTATACAGCAAACGCGACTGTTTTACTTCAATCTCAAAAACTTTCAATCAGCAGATGATGGATGTGTATCGCGATGTGCGTCCAAAAGAATCCGAAATGTGGAATGGTGTGAATCTATGTTACGCGCTTAATTTGCATCCATTTAACTAATTTACCTAGATACCAATAAAGTGCCATATTCGACATTGAGTCATAGAGCCCCAGTGAACAATTTTATTGAGGAACAGGGAGCGGAAAGATTATAGTTTTTAACAATAACGCGATTACTATATGGCCTTAAGGATTGGCAATTTATTGTGATTTTCTAGAGAAATAGGTGGTGCATCTTGGCAAGGTAAAGGCTTATCATGAGAATAATACATTGTCATAGCGGTCAGATCTGATTTCAGAGGGAGGCAGAGTCAAAAAAATAAAATTCATGCGAAGAAGCTGGCAAGATTGTTAACGAACCCGAGTGAATTATCCATGATCTTATTGTTTGATTTAAATGAATAAAGATGAACGTGATTTTAGAGACTCATCGATCGAATATTTGTATATAAAGTGCGTAGTTTGTAAGTTAGTGAGCCAGTTTTGAGTTGAGGTTTAACTGAAAGGATTGTCGTATGAAGTTAAGTGAAAGCCATAAGTGGTTACTGAATTCTGTGAAGTCAATTATACTGTATATTTTTCCAAGGCAGACCCGACATTGACAATATTGAAAACATAAACAATGCGGCTTATTGGTCGCAAAATGCCGTATATCTGCAGTCGACAAAGATATCGTTTTACAGATTTGAAATCAGTATCACGCTGAATGTCGTGAAAATATTATGTTTGTTTTCAGTGACAAACTGCTTGGGTTCGTCCGATTAAATCTGGCCAAAAATTATTATAGTATAGTACCTAGGTATTTTTATTATAACATTTGCACGACATACATTGTAAAACTGATTCCTACCCTGTAAAAGGTTGCCTTACCTGCAGGGACACAGCATTTTGCAAACAATAAGCGCTAAGCGGCATTGTTTATGTTTAAAATGTTGGGAAAAAAAACAGATCAGGTAGCTCAATAAAAGTTGGCGTTCAAGGGCCGATATTTTTGATCTCTATTAACGAATTTGACACCTCGGTAAATTTAACAAGGTTTTGCATGGGCCAAGGTCTATAAGTATGATGAGGATAGAGCACATTCAGACCCTTGATTATTTTTAACGGCTATCAAATTCGAAAAGTGAGAAAAAAAGTACCAGCACTAAGAAAATTTATAATCATAGTTAAGGACGGTCTACATGTACAGTTAACTTTCTTAGTTGTCGAACATTAAAAAAATCATACTAAAACAATAGAAGATGTAATATCTTGAATATCAAGATATTATGAGCCGACTCCACTCTGAAGCTGAACTAAACAAATTGATAGATGTATTTTGTTCATTTTCACTTGTTGGGGTGGGGGTTGTTGAAGAGGTTGATAAGGCGTTATTTGTTAATATGTATATACATGTTGTATGTTATATTCAAACTACATTTAAACAACTCCAAATGTCAATAAAAAACTGCCACAAATCATGAACAACAATCAAGAAGCAACAACATTCAATATAACAACCGTGCAATTGCTTTGAGATTTCCCTCGATATGCTTCAAATTACTTAAAATATCGAAAATTGCCCAAAATGCCTGTGAGTTGTACACTGTAGGTACACTTAAAAACGTTTCCTTCGCAAAAGGGATCAGGTACCAAAAAAACTGGAGCAGGAGAGTTCTATAATTATATATTTTTACTCTCCTGTTCTGAAAGGTTCGAAAAGTATGTGATTTTTGTATTTCAGTGAAATTTTGATGTAATGCACAAGTACCAAGTTCGATCAAAATATTATCAAAAATAGGTTGGGTCTATGGTTGATTAGTTTTCACGTCTAGCGCGAGGCATGTTTAGACTATTTTGCGGGCTTGATATACAAAATTATAAGAAAATTTACAGAACGGTTCTTGGCAAAGAATGCGAAGCAAATTGTAATTCTTGCATACATAGAGAATTTATCAGTTGCTTAGTGAAAAGTTAAACAACGCGTGAAAACCTCCAAAAATTGAATATATGAATAATTTAGTGATATTGGGGGCCGCTAGATCAATCCTTTGGTAAGCGTTTGTTGGTGAACAATGACCTAGAATGCCCTACACAATAATAATGTCGAGAATAATGTCATATTGACACCGACACAATCTAAAGTATTTGTCAACTAACAAAAGTTTAACAAGCGGTTCATCCAGGTCATCAGACAGTTCACTCATTTGGCAATATTTTAAAAGGTTTTTGAGAATATTTGAGGGTGAACTTTAGTTTTGTTAGTTTGTTTAGTAGTAGCTCAATTTTTTATTAACTTTTTCTACAGAAAAATGCCATGCGGTGAAATTTCGAGATTTATAGGTCGAAGGATTAATTGATTTTTTTTTAATGGAATGCCAAAAGTAGATATACATGGCTGAGCGGGCTTTTGAACATGATGCTAGACCAAAAAGAGATAATTATTTTTTCCGAATTCAGCAATAGGAAATAATGATATACCTACCTATTATTTATATAAAATGAGCCTTTTTGATATTACAGCACTAGTTTATTCTACAAAACAAAACGCTTCAATGCCATTGAACTTATTCAAACCATTTTTATAATATGCAAATTAAATTACACAACACATTGTTATAATTTTTTTATGTTACCACTCATGTGTTATAAAAATATTATTGCGCCTGGCGTTGAGAAGAAGGCGCCATGTCCTCACCCACCATACTTTTAGAATCTCGCTATTGTACCATAAAACTGGATTTTTGAGCATTAAAAGGGATTTTCTGTGGGAGATAATAAATAATCAGATCTGTTTGAATAACCTTGGCCTTTTGGCGTGCGACATGGTGAATACTAGATTAAAGGCGCTAACCTTGAAATACAAACGGTGTTGTGTGATATTACTCATTGATAAGACAGTTCTGTGGTTTAATACTACATAACGAGTTATTTATACAGCAGATTTCTGAGAATTGTTACTATATTCAATATGATAGTAAACACATCATTGATGTGTTTTTGGGACTCTAGAGAATAATAAATTAAACTCAACTAATAGTTATAGAGTATATATTCTAAGCTTGAGGTGGAATGTTGTGGGGGACTTCAAAGGAATTCTTGCCTACATAACAGTGGAGCAACTTGTCTAACTTACCAAAGTTGCTATTTCAGATTAATTTGTAAATATTTACGGCATGGTAGATGGTTATTGAATTTTTGTTTGATTTTCTGCTCATAGTGCCTGTTTTGAGTAGACTTAGGTCATAGCTTTTCTCCACCCCAATTGATACAGGTTGGGTTTAGTATATATGCTCATAATTTTTTTATCATTTATTACAGGGTGTTTCAGAAATGGTGTTGCAAACTTTAAGGACGGATATAACTCATCAAAATAAGGAAAAAAGATCTTATGGATATGGATCCAGTTCCGAAGTACTATATAAACTAACCCAAAAAAGATCAACCCCTTGATTTATCGTAAAGATTGTTGCTATTTTTGCAAAAGAACAAAATATATAGGCTCTATAAGAAATTTCAGCTTTTCATCTTAATTGAGAAATATAATAAAAAAATTAAAAAAAAAAAACATTTTTTCCAATTTAATTTCTAGCTCCAATACCTCGAAAACAAAACGTTTCCGGACCCATATTCATACGAAATTGTTTTCTTATTTTGATGAATGATATCCGCCCTTAAAAATTGTAATATCATTTCTGAAACACCCTGTATACAAAATGAATACAAAGGCCATATAGGTACTAAGTCGCCAAGAAATCTGATAAAACGTAGAACATCAATCTAAAGATCCACAAAATCTCGGCATTATCGATAAATTAAGATTTTTATCCCTATAGATGTTTATCTAGGGTTTAGATCCAAAAGCAGGTATTTGATTGGAGAAAATATCGATTTGAAGCAATAATGAGCGAGGAACCTTTAAAACTGCTATTTTTAGTAAGTACCGCTTCTTCATGTTTTGGCACCTGTTCAGCTACAAATAATTCCGTTTCTTCTAGCATGGACATTTAGAAAAAAAATCGGAAAAAAAAATCTTACAAATTCTACCAAAACAAACTTTCCATTGAACACACAAGAGAATATTAATATTTTTTGACAACAAAAAAAGGTATTTGTTTGCTCAAATTTCTTTAAAAAAAATAATAATTAATTATGTTTGTCATACTTAGTATAGGAGAATATTAAAATGTATAAAGTTGTCTTGTTCGACCCTGTCCTCACAGCTTTTTTAATCACTGTTTTTCTGGTTCTTCCAGTGGTTCAAGTTGTTAAGTTTGCACTTATTCTACCGACACTTGCACCTGCTTGTATGTGTCCCAATTTTGCCAATAGGTAGATACATATTCACTTATTTACATGTTAAAATCCGCTAGAACCGACAAGCTATTTGTAAGAACCTTTTCCGGGTATAAATGTTAGTGATTCAAAAGTGAGGTTATTTTTCGGACATTTGTTTTAAGTTTAACTTAGGTACCTACTTACCAAAAACAAAACAAAATATTATCCAAACAGCGATGAAGGACTCGGCCGCTCTACTCTTCATAATTGGGCGATTTAAATGCCCATCACACTTCTCAATAGTAGCACAGAACCATCAGGTTCATGGTCCTTTAAACTTCAAAATTTCAAAACAAGCACAAATCGAAAAAGTTCAATCAATTCCCAAACATTTTTTTTTACCACGCGATTATAGGACCAATAAACGGTTGTTTTTAAAAATTGTCGGAGTTTTTGTTGACGGGAGTCTGAGTTCGGTCTCGTGCGACCGTATTTCATACGATGCAACGGAGGAATCTCGCACACAAATCGGCTTTTCAGCCAGTTTGGTTTTCTCTCTCCGGCGCGGGTTGACTAGAGTATTGACCGGGCCCTCGATGCCTTGCGCCGAATGCGGCCCCTTCTTGCCTCTTCACCCGAACAGGGGCGGATTCTTTCGGGGGCGCCGCCGGCGCCCAAATTGACGACGGAAGGAAACGGAGGTCTGAGGCCGAGAAGAGGTCTATTCCTTTTTTTGGGGTTGAGGGGAGCCTGCCACTATATTCTCTTGACACACTCTTGCGTGGGCGACCGACGTTCCTTTTTATACCTACCTATTTTCATCTGGAAAGAAAATTAGAAGTAGTTATCTATACTTATTGGATTTCTGATATAGGTAGATACTGTAAAAAAAAACTTTTCAATCAAAATTCACAGAAGGTTTTGTGCCCACTTAAAAAAAAGTAAGTAAATCTGTCAATAAGAAAACAGACCTTCCTATTGCATGTGTACGGACACGTCGGAAACGCAGAGAGGCCACCTATGCAATTCTGACTTGTAATTCGGAATTCCGACTTATTTACTCGAAATTCCGATTATAAGTCGGAATTCCGATTTTTTTTTTTAAACAATCTTTATTCAACTAAGGGGTACACGTAATTTGGCTCCCAAGATAATGAGAGTTAGAAAAAAATATGTAACTTGGTTACCGCAACTTTTCGTTTACCTGATTTTTATATGTGTAAATTGGTTCCCTCTACCTGAAGTACTTAAGCCGGGACTTAAGCTGGATTACCATAGGCAATAAAACAGACTAAGCAGTGTTTGAAAGTTTTTTCAGGTAATGACCAACGTGCAAATCAGGGACAAGAGTCCCTGTTTGGGAATCGACCCACTGATGAGTCCTAACAAGGACGAAACGCGTCAAGGATTGGCACGGGAATGCGGGGTCCACTACTCAGTGGGTCGATTCCCAAACAGGGACTCTTGTCCCTGATTTGCACGTTGGTCATTACCTGAAAAAACTTTCAAACAATTTTCATTGCCAACGAAATCTCAGACCAATCAGTGTAGTTCAATGCCGGTAGGGGTATTTGCCCTCGGAGTAGTTGTTTCTGATTGGTCAACGAAGTTCAGACTAAGCAGTATTTACAATATTTAGGTATTTATTATTACCTACCTATTAAAATGTAATCGACTAATTTCATTTTCAGAATAAGATTCTATCATTTTTACCAAAAATCTTTGGCGGTTTTTGACTTTAGTGTTATGTATTTTAGCTGAAATATGTACACTGTAATTCAACTTTTTCCAAAAATATTAAGTTATTGAGGTGAGCTTTATGACAGGACGAATTAAAGTGTTTATGAAAAGATTCACAGGAGTTGGTAGTGCGTGTGAGGTCAGTTGAATTGTTGCAGTCACAACATCAGAGTTCTCATTTTTATATTCGGGTACAAGACCGTATTCCTGAATCTTTCTATACCAGAACTGGGAAAGATGGAACCGGAATCCAAATAAATTTGTGTCGTTTTTTCTAACATTTCAAAATTTAATTACCAGGCAAAAACCACCATCTTCAAACACACGCGATAACAACACATAAACTAACTACAAAAAGAGTACTAACTTATTACCTAAGCCGCTCACCCCTCCCCCAGGTATAGGTACCTAATTAATATTTATTATTAGCCAGAGAACCAATATTGCAACTCCCTTTAGGTGTCTGGGTACCAAATTACATATTGATAACAAAAAGGGGCTAGAACCTTCTTATTTAATACCTGCCAGGAACCAAATTACCAACACCCTAAATCACCCTAACTAAGTGATATCATAACAATAACATATTAGGTATAAAGTACCTACTCCCTAAACAGTGCTTGATGAAAGCTCTGGCTGCGAGAGATTCCATAAATCTTACAGCAGTGTTAATAATTAGTTACAATACTATTTATCATACTCAAGCTTATACTAAATAACAATATTTAATTTATATTTAGATATTTCTTCAATTTCACTACTAATAATCTAAAACTCGCAATGCATTTTAGATTGTCAGGAAGACGATTGTAACTTTTTGGAGCATCTACAACAGGATTATTCAGACCTATATTTGTTCTTGTATAAACTTGATATATTATTTTGACTTCTTGTCCCATAATTATGTATGTTATGTGAAAATAAAATGTGTATTACATTTCTGTTGTTTATGAATTATTTTATGTATCAATTTACACTGTTCCAGTTCGAGTATTTTGTTAAGCTGACTAGTGCCCAACTCTCTAAATTTTTGGATCTTTTCACGGTATTTTTGGGACTTCTAATGATGGGGGCAAGCGAAAATGCGACTATTTCAACAAATTTTGATGAGAATTTATAGTAGAACGTTACTTATATTATAATGTATGTATTTGGGTATTTTCGATTTTGAATTATTAATAAAATTTAAAGGCCTTTGGGGTAAGGGGGCAAATGCCGATTTGATTCGCCTTATCCGGCTACAAGCCAGTTCGACTTTTCACTCCCTATGTGTCTAGTAGGTTTGTCCGGTCTGAATATACATTTTCCATGATAAACTAGGTTAAAAAGGCCAGTGTCATTATCGTACATCATGCAAACGGAAAGGAAATATTCCAACGACTTATTAAAAAAACCTTTATAACTACAAGTGTCTCTTGGTGTAACACTTCATCACGCTTATTCATCACGACAACTTATTGATTTTCTGTATGGCTTTGGAACTTGAAGCTATGACAAAGTAATGAGGTACAAATCCTCAGTAGCAACTACAGTTTGTCGTAACATGCAATCAGCAAACTTCGAACTACTGGGATCAAATAGCTTGAAGCCCGATTGTCTAATTCAAACGGTAGTAGACAAGACAATTTTGATATACAGCAAAATAACTTAAATCAACACACTCCCTCGCTATGATGCCTCGCTTTCATTCAAAATAAATTGGAAAAAACTCAACTTATGGCACGAAACAAACTTATAAATAAGCTAATGGCATAGCCAAAAAATGAACTACCTATATACAGGTTTGACAGGTCAACAACAGGCCAATTTTAATGCAATAGAATGAAATGTCTAGAAAAACTCTAAGGTTGAATAGAGAACGAAAGCTAACGATTTCACCTGTTCCACATCCAGCATTCCTTTTTTCCCTTGTATTATGAATAACTATTATTGATGGGATGTTCCATCTTTCGGTGTTAAAGTTGCTCAATAAATTGGGATATAGAATATCATCCATAACTCTTTGGAATGTAGCCGGCGCGTTCTTCAAACCAAAGGGCATGCGCAAGAACTCATAATGTCCGTTTTCTGTGCTAAATGCGGTTTTTTCGATGTCGTTTTCATGCATCTGGATCTGTTAAAAGCCGCTAGCTAAATCTAAGGTGGTGAAATACTGGCAGCATCCCAGCTTCTTCAAGAGATCTGTTATGTTGGGTAATGGGTATCTGTCATCTAAGCTTTTTGTATTAAGGCCCCTAAAATTTACTATACTATACCTACCAAACCAAAAAATATTCAAACTGTTTGTCAAAGTGGGTATAGCAAGAACATAAAACACACAAGTTTGATATAAAAATAAATAGTTAGGAATGTTAGGATCGGGAACTCAATATTTTTGTACCTACTCACTACACCCACTACATACAATGCCGTATTGACTTCCCGGTCAAGCAAATGATCATCAAGACCATACAGGGAGTACAGCAGCGGGCCCAACACGGATCCCTGAGGCACCCCATGGGTATTAGTTAGAAATTCACTTTTACAATCATTATAACTAACATATTGTTTTCTTTTAGTTAGGTGTGTTTTAATCAAATTATATATTAGGTACCCTTCTAAAGCCCATCTTTTGTAGTTTGTTTGAAAGATTATCAACACTTACTACATCAAACGCTTTCTTCAGTTCTATGAGCACAGCCACAACTATTTCTTTTTTGTCTAATGATAAGAGAAACATCGTTGACAAGGTCTACTGTTTTTAACGAAACCATACTGGTACTCATATACCAAAATATACTTTTTAATAAATTTGAGCATACGCTTCTTGACCAATTCCTCAATAATTTTGGAGAAAACACTAATAACCGATATTGGTCTGTAGTTATTCATGTTTTTGGTCCACTTTTATGAATGGGTGTAATCCTACTAACTTTCAATTCCTTTGAAAAAATGAGAGCAGTAGAAACATTATTGATCAATTAAGTCAAAGTTGGAACAATATCTTTTTTCAAGTTCGTAATATCTAGAATAGTAATCCGATCTTAACACGGCGCAAAAAAAGTTCTGATATGATCTGACCAACTTCAAATTCACTAGTCAATTGCAAAAATAAAGCAGATATTTTCACAATCAATCTCCTGTTTTTGATAACCATGTTGCAGGTGCCTAATTTCACTATTTATTTCATCAACTATATTTTTACCAATCCCTGCAAAATGCTTATTTAGACACCTAGCTATCTGATGTGGTTCATGCACCAATAATAGTCTGATTTTAACACCTCTATTTGACCATTCGGTCTTTTACCCTTTACAAAATCATTGATAAACAGCCATTGTTTTTTTAAGTTACTACCAGCATTTAACCATTTATTTCGAAAATATTGATTCTTTTATCTTTTATTTTCCTTGAACTCACGATTTAGGTGAAGATCATTTGGAATCCTAACCTTTCTCTCATAAATTTTATCCCTAAGTTTCATCATCTCAAGCACTTCCAGATTCATCCAAGTATTATTTTCACCGGTTTTTTTAAATTTTACAAATTCGGATTTACATTTACAAGACTAACTCTGAAAGTACCTGAAATGACTCGACATATTCAATATACCGCAAGCCCCTATCTAAACAAAGTTTCAATTTTTTTGTGATCTACACCTTTAATCTCATGTTTATTTTTTGGTGAGTATTTTTTAATAGCCTCTAGAGTAATTGATAAACGCCTGTGCTTCGATAAATGGTTATTTTCCACATCATAAGACTAAATCTTAAGTTAGAAGTTAAGAGTTAAA